AATGATTAACATGCACAGCCACAAACCCAAAGGTTTGGAGGAATGAGTCTACTCAGAGGTATCTTGAGAATAAAAGGAACTGGTGATCTACTTTAGAAAAATCAGCCATTGAAGTTGGACCTTCTTGGGGAAGGAAGCCGGTGGAATACATGGGATCACAATAAGTCCTAATCTACTTAATGACAACGTGTTAGTAGATTGTCCAGCAGAAGGGACTGCCATGGAACCCATCAAAGATTGTTATACAGTTGAATCACTTTATGGTATCTGGTCAGTAGTTGACTCTAGCATTAGTTTAGTGTGTGAGAATGTTTGCAGGGTGGAGAGAAGAAATGGAGGCAGAAATACTGTTCATTTAGGAGTTGATGAGGAGGACATGTATGCTCAGAGCTGAATAACCTCTCTCATGGTAGTGTCAGTGGATGGGATAGGATAAAGTTGAGAGAGACTTCAGAAATATAATGACAAGCTTTAGAAGCCAGTTCAGCAATGGGTATGGTGGAAGAGAAGCTAAAAAGACCAGAAAGTTTTACCCTAAGGAGCTAGGACAGAAATGGTATTGTAACTGAGCACTCGGTTGCTAACCCAAAGTTCAGCGGTTTGAACCAACAGCTGCTCTATGGGAGAAAAGACCTGGTGATGCGCCCATAAAGATTATAGCCTAGGAAACCCTACAGAGTAGATCTACTCTGTCCAATGGGTTTTTTTTCCTTTTTCTTTTTTTTTTTCCTTAATGTTTTATTGTGAATTATATGATAGTTTACATGGAAGAACATTAGTTTTACATTCATTCTATTGTATATCGTTTCATTGCCATGTTTACAATCTCCTCCATGCATCATCAACCAACCAAAGTGTATACCCTGCAAGCCTGCCCCTGACACTCCCCCCCCCCACCATGAGGTTTTATAAGTTGGAATCAACACCACAGCACGCAACAACAATGACAAAGAAGTAGGGAGGTGGGATCTGGAGGGGGGAAAATGGTGATTTCTGAGAGCTCCAAGTCTGTAGCATCTGAGACAAGTGGAGCTGTCCAGCAGACCTTGGAAAAAAGCAGCCTGGACTGAAGAGAAGCAGAACAGCAATACTGATGCTGAAGAGGCAATGGCCTTCATGAAGAGGTGGAGAGAACTGAAAGAGCAGAGAGGAGTGAGGGAAGAGCAGGGAAGTTTCGAAGCTGTAATCCTGGAAAGTGAAAATCCTGACCTGTTGAGAAAATATGTTCTCTGTCTTCAGCCTGCCACTGAGGAGCAGCAGTCCAAAAAGAATCCAGATTTCTGACTGAATTCGACAACACCAGAAAGATGTGTGTGTGTATTTTATTGATTATGCAAATATATTTGATTGTGTGTGCCACAGCAAGCTATGGATAACATTGCAAAGAATGGGAATTCCAGAACATTTTATCATGCTCATGAGGAACTTGTAAATAGAACAACTGTTCAACAGAACAAGGGAATACTGAATGGTTCAAATTCAGGAAAGGTGTGTGTCAGGGTTGTGTCCTTTTACTATACTTGTTCAATCTGTATGGTGAACAAATTGTCTAAGAAGCTGAACTATATGAAGAAGAACATGGCATCAGGGCAGGAAAAAGACTCATTAACCACCTGCAATATGCAGACAACACAATCTTGTTTGTTGAAAGTGAAGAAGATTTGAAGCGCTTACTGATGAAGATCAAAGACTACAGCCTTCAGCATTGATTACACCTCAACATAAAGGAAACGAAAATGCTCATAACTGAAACAGTAAGCAATATTATGATAAATGAAGAATGTATTGAAGTTGTCAGGGGTTTAATTTTATTTGGTCTATAATCAATGCCCATGGAAGCAGCAGTCAGGAAATCAAAGGACATAGTGCTTTGGATAAATCTGCTGCAAAAGACCTCTTTAAAGTGTTCAAGAGCAAAAATGTCTTCTTGAGGACTAAGGTGGGCCTGATTGAAGCCAAGGTGTTTTCAGTTGCTTCATATGCATGTGGAAACTCCTGGACAGTGAGTAAGGAACACTGAAGAACTGATGTCTTTGAAGTATAGTGTTAGTGAAGAATGTCAAATATGCATGGACAGTCAGATGAACAAACAAATCTCTCCTGGAAGAAGTATAGTCAGAATGCTCCTTAGAAGTGAAAATGGGGAGACATTGTCTCACATATTTTGGGCGTGTTATCAGAAAGAACCAGTTCCTAGAGAAAGGCATCATGTTTGGTAAAGCAGAAAGTCAGTGAAAAAGAGGAAGACCCTCAGTGAGATGGATTGACACAGTGGCTGCAATAATGAACTCAAACTAGCAACAATTGTGAGGATGGCATAGGCCTGGGCAGTGTTTTGTTCTATTGCACACTGGCCTGCTATGAGCTGGAACTGACTTGACAGCACTTACTGACAGTAACAAGATCAACAAAAACATATCTTCCTGTAAACATTTTGGATTGGCTTGTTGTCTTCCTGTGATATCGGCCAGCATCCTTTTGAGGTTGGGCTCACCTTACCATACTCTTTCTTCTTGGTAATGCTGGTTACCAGAATGGGAAGCATCAGACTGGGATACAGTTTTTAACCCACCATTGTAGCACTGGTAAAGAAGTGTTCCATGAAGGCATGTGTTAAAATGAGGGGCAGAGCAGTAGCTGGAAGCACTGAGTTTGGTATCAGATACTAGGTCTGTCATGCATCAAAGACTTGTCTTGGTTTTTCCATCTATGAAATGCACGATAAAGGTGTTGGCCTTGTAAATTTATATTGTTGTTGTTAGGTACTGTTGAGCTGGTTTTGACTGAGAGAGAACAGAACAAAACACTGCTCAGTTCTGTGACATCCTCAAAATTTTGTGAGAATTAAATAACATAATGCAAGTGTAAAGGTTAGCATAGCATCTGCCACATAGTAGGTGTTCATTAAACACTAGCTATGTGCATGGAGTTCTGGTGTGGTGCTGTAGGATAAGCACTGGATTGCTAATCACAAAGTCAGCAGTTCAAACCCATCAGCCGCTCCTTGAAAACCCTATACTGGGTCACTACAAATCAGAATCAACTCGACAGCACTTAACAACAGCAATGTGCATGGATTGGGGGTGGAGAAGAGTTACCTTGCGGCATAAACATTTCTTGAGTTAGGAAAGTTCTTATCTAGTAGCTTTTATTCACCAGTTCATCCGCATACCTGTTTCTTGTGGTTTAGTGTACCAGGAAAATGTTCAGAAGTGGTCTTTCTGATTAAATTCCTTGCTAACACTAGGGTTCAAGAAAGAGGTTATGCAGGATAGAAAACTTTTCTTTTGCATTTCATTAAGTGCTACCAAGTCCCGTTTGTCTCACGAAGGGACCCTGTGGACATTATCAAAGAGACAATGAGTCACTGTGGAGGCAGCATCAGAATTTTTATCTCAACCTATCATCAGGCAATGAGTCGTATGTGGCAGAATCATTCCACTTGGAGAATGCAAGCTATGCACCGATAGGCCTGACAGGAAGGGCTGAGGCCCCGCATGGCGTACTTGGAAAAGGTCTGCTAGTAAGAGTCCTAAGAAGCAAGCTTATGTCATTTCACCCTTTCTAGTCCTAGGTTTAGTGTCTGTAGCCTGAGGAGATCACTATCCTTTCTGGCTATGTGACATGGGATTGCTGAGTGACAATACATGAAAACACTTTTTACAATGTAAATGGTTTAACCAATGTAATCTGTTATCTTCATGATCAATCCATTATTTTCCTTAGAGATACTTTCTGCCTTTAGCAAATGCTATATCTGGGTTCAGAAAGGACTGTAGCAAAGGCTAGACTAATTGGAACTCATTTCTGTTTGAAAGCAAGCGACTCAACCTTAGAGAGCAAGACACTATTGAAGAGAAGTTAAACTTCCTTCTCCAGGACTCAAATTTTAGCGTGCATCACAGTCTTCTGCATGGCTGCTTCTCATCCCTAGAGTTTCTGATTCAGCAGGCCTGGAATTTGCATTTCGAATACACTCCCCAGATGCAACTGCTGTTACTGACCCAGAGACCACATGTGGAGAACAACTGTGCTGGGGCAAGTAGCAACGAAGATTCCTCCTTCTGGAATGGTAGCAGGCAGTGTGATGGTCTATGTGGGTAATGGGGATTGAAAGAAAAAAAGAAAAAGAAAAATGAAAAGACAGAAAAAGAGGGATAATGTTCAGAGTGGGCAGAACAAAGGGAAAAGTCTCACTCTGTAACAAATGCAAGTAGGGAGAAGTTGCTAGGTGATGGATGAGGGAGAGAGGTGAATTTCCACTGTTGGAAGAACCAGGTGAGAGGCAAGAACACAGAAGAGTCGGAAATATGCACGTTTGGGACAGCAGAGGACGTGGAAATTTCTCATTAGGAAGTGAGGAGGGAATGGAGATGGGCTGGGGAAGAATTGCCTCGGTAGAATAAGGGGGCAGCTGAGACATGGAAGAAGAGGGTAATTTCAGAGCTCTGTGGTTTGGCTTGGTAACACAGCACAATAGAAATTGGGAGCAAGGGGGTGGAATTTAGATGTGTGACCTGCCCCGTAGTTATCTTGCTCTCTGCATTTATCACATCACATCACACCCAGCAAGACAGCCCCCCTCCTCCTGGCTCGTTAGGAGATTTGATTCGGCTTGGCTCCTGCTGTCAGCAGCTGTCTGGGGCAAGATCTTTATGCTCCCTGCTCCCCAAGCAGCAACCAGCCTCAGCCGGCAGCAGAGCTCATTAGGAGAGCTGTGGACACTTGGTTCTTAGCTCAATGGCGGCTGGAAGGAGTTAACACCTAAGGCTTTACTATCCCCTGCACAGCCTCTGGGTGCAGAGGGAGACAGCTCTGGGCTATGGTGACCTTCTCCTGAGCCACAGTCCAGGGAGCTGGGGAGCAGGTTAGTGAGGCTGAGGAGGAGGCTGGAGGAGCGCCAGCCACTCTGCGCTCAGGGCATCTCCTGCCTCATGCCAGTGAGGATGGGCGTGCAGACTGTGCCCAGGAGCCAAGCTGCCGCCCATCAGGGGTAGGCTGCTTCAGGATTTACTGGATGTGACAAGCAAAGAGAGGAGCATTCAGCGGAGCTCTACTCGCAGCCTGGCTCAAGTGGTGGGAGGTGTGCGTGCATGTGTGTGTGTGTGTGTGTGTGTGCGTTCCTGTACACACATGCACACATGCCCTTCACCTGCCAAGGATCGGACTGCTAAAGAAAGATCTACTCTTTCCCCAGAGCTCCTTAACCCGCAGCTTCTCTGACCATCCAGTTGGCAACGACCTGCAAGCCATGAGGACTGGTCAAAGACAGTGAGTATGGTTTTTACTTTTCTCCGTTTTCTCTTTGGGGTGTCCATGTGGGCTGAGTACATTATCTATATTTAATTGACCTGCCTCTTCATGCATATTGATTGCTTTCTCCCTTCTGAGGCTTTTCATTTCTCTCCCTTTTTTTTATACATCTTTGCTGTTTGCTTTTAACCTTTGTTTTTTCCTTTGAGTATGCTCTTTCCATTATATCCCACCCCGTCTGCTCCAGACTCACCTGTACCAGTGTCCTGCTGAGCAGGAGCCCGGACCTGGATGCTATCTACCAGTGTGCATGCACTGTGAATGCAGCCACACCTTTGGCCTCCCTAGGTTTTGGGTAACCCCTAAATCCAGCCCCCATACATGTAGGCAAAATGGAATAAGGGCCTTTAGGTGCTGAGATGGGCAAGAAAGCGGGGGCCAAAGGATCCTGCAAATTCTTATTCAATGGAGTCTGTGGCTGATCTAATCAATGGGATGGTGGGGGTTCTGAGAGGCAAAGGTGCACAGGGCTGGAGTTGGAAGCAAGAGAGGCAGACATCTAACTGGAACTGGCAAACCAATGCAGGCTGGCGGTAGAGCTGAGAAGAAAGAAGAGGCAGGGACAGGAGGCCAAGTGATACCCTGCCCCAAATGACCTTGCCTGTTGTATATATGGGTAGTGGTCCCTGGCTATGCTCAGGGTAATGAAGGACCCTGGCATGGGCTACCCCTCCTCTGGGGCTATGAAGCTGAAGTGCTGGAAACATGATGTCTGGGGACCCTTACCAAGTCTGTTTCCAGATTTCTGAGCAAGCAGGATGTAAATATGGTTAGATCAGGGAGTAAGGGCATGCCCCTGTGCTTAGGGAAACCAGTCCATGCTCAGTACCCTGGGGTGAGCGTCTACAAAAAGTCTAACAAAGGTTTTCAGTTTTAGCAAAACAACCTTTTCATTTTATGTGATATTTATGAACTATTCCTAGTAATAGCAAAATAATCTAAACAGCGTAGCTTCAGTAGGCCCTTTATCTATCTAAATTAGGTTTCTTTTCAGATGGATTCTATGTTTGGTGTTGGGGTTCCCCAGGGGAGCCCTTTATGGATCCTGGGCTCTCTTCATGAGTTTCTTCCTTATCAGTTATCTTCTGTGAGAATAAAGGGTTGGGAGTTCTTAGAATGGGACCCTCAGGAGAGAGAGATTATAAATTTATCAATCCTCAAACTCCATATCCCTTCCCACTACCCTCCCTGTTTTGGCATAAGACTGGCCTAGTGTCCGGGCTGAGGATGGGCAGGAAGTCTTGATACAGGAAAGAAAGAGTGATTTGAGTGTTCATCCCTGCAGGCTGTACCTGGGACCCCTGCAAAGAAGCAAGGCTGCATAGTAGCTTAGAGTTTCTCCAATTTCCTCCCACTCACCCCTTCCCAAGACTCCATGCACCCCCACCTCTAGGACAAGGTCCTTTGGAGGGAGGTGAAAAATCACAATAGCATTAAATTCAATTATTTTGGAGGCAGTGCTTCCTCTCCTCCCCCACTCCCTGTCGGTTGGTCACTTGGGCCCCACTTCAGTAAGAGAAAGAGAACAGTCATTTTGGGTTGCCAGGCCCATCTCTCTCCTGGGACCCATGTCCCACTTTACTGTTGATGACCAGAGGATGGAGAATAGGAACTCGAGACCAGTCATCAGCAATATGAAGCGTTGTTCTAACAATGTGTTCTTGGCGATCTTTGGTGGGTCAAACAAACCAAGCCCTTGCTGAGGATAAGCAGACTATATGGGGAATGGGTGTGTGCAAGACACTTGCTTGGCAGGAAGCCATCTGAGAAGATATATTATGCAGGCAGATAGGAGAAGGTGGGCCTCCCCCCCTTACAGCAGATTCTTTGATTTTAGGTGAGAGGACGTGAAAGGGTAAATCCCTCTGCCCCGCAGTCTAATCTCCTGCCCTGACGGCCCTGCAAAGCCAGCCAAAGGGTTAACCGTAAGCAGATGCCTGTATGGCTGCCTTACTGATGCCACGGAGGTAACTGATCAATAATCTGTTTCCTTGTCCCCGCCCCTTTCCTCTGCCTCTACCTTCCCACTGCCCTTGCCTCCTGAGCCTGGTCCAAGTCTGCTGGCCCATGGATGATTCACTTGCCTCTCTCTCCTAGCCTCCCATGTGGGCTGCACTGTTCTCACTCCTGTGCTTCTTGCAAAGTTAGGGGGCCTTGCAAAGTTACGGCTTCCCACGTAACTGACAGGATGGCGAGATGTCTTGGCTATGATTTATGGTTTGGGATGAGAGATTGTGCATGAGCTTGTATTGGGCAATTTAGGGACTTCTATGAACTGGGGTGGAGCCTGTCAAGATAACAAAGGTGAGGGCAAACCTAGCTAAAACAAAAACAAAGTAACCTCGACCTTCTGCTCCTATTATTTTAGACCTATTTAACAAGTTTATAACTCACATTTCAGCTATGGTGGTTATGTGCTGTGGAGTTGATTCCGACTCATAGCAACCCTGCATAGGGTTTCCAAGACTGTGAATCTTGACAGGAGCAGAGAGCATGGCTGGTAGTTTCGAACTGCTCATCCTGCGGTTAGCAGTCCAACTCGTAATTCACGATGCTACCAGGGAGGGCATCGTCATGTTTCAGCTATACAAGATGGAAAATAGAAAACATTTTTTCCCAAACCATACTTTGTTAAGAATCTTGGCAAATGATTTGGGAGCGTCAGAATTGTCTGGGCCACACACCCTTTGTTCTGGCACCTGCTAAACACTACTTGGTGGGGGCAGTGACCAGACTGTGCTGTGACTGATGACCCTGAGGTAACAAGGAATGAATCGACTTGCTGAAAGCTGGTCTCTGGCTGGCAGAGTAGCCTGAGCAGGACCTTGACTTGAATTCTTAGACTTAGTGACTCAAGGGCCCTTAATCAGTGGCTTGTGTGACCTGGTGTTAGAGCAACCTGTGATTTGTACGAGCAAGTGGACACATAAGATGCTTGCTGTGTTGGGAGAGAGTACGGTTGGAGCTGATGTTTTGAAATGCCATGGAATAGATGGCTCACCAAGCAGCCTGGCTACGATGGATGAGAGGCTGCAACCCTGGAAGTGCCGGTCCAATGTGCTACAGGAGAGAGGATATTCCTGGGAATGATGATGCTCTGACCTGGAGATGGGCTGTGGAATATAAATGTTGTCCACCCCTGACAAATATAATATGATCCCAGGGCGCGTTGGCTGGATACAATGTCTATGCTGCTGTCAAGTTAATTCCAACTCATGGTGATCCTGTGTGGGTCACAGTAGAACTGTGCTTTCAGAAGTAGATCACCAGGCCTTTCTTCTGAGGTACCTCCAGGTCTACTCGAACCACCAACTCTTTGGTTTGCAGCCAAGCATGTTGATCAGGAAAGAAAATCCATTTGAAGTAAAAGGAAGGGATTGGATCAGATGACATAGGAGGTCCCTGTCCAGCCCTTGTCAAATTTGTGAGAAAGACGAAAGAAAAGCCAGGCTGGAAGGGCTTGCCTTCCACATGGAGAAAGTCATCTTGTAGGACTATCGTCAATGATGTGCACGTTGAATTCCTCTTTTACAAGTCACTTAAGTTTTGATCTAATTATACCAACCTCTCACACTTAACCTTTGCCTTCCACACCAGGTGTCCCCATGGGTAAAGATCAGGGTTCAACAAACTTATTCTGTCAAAACCAGACAGTAAATATTTTTGGCTTTGTGGGCCATGCTGTCTTTGCTGCAACTATTCACCTCTGCCCTGGTAGTAGAAAATAAGGCCTTAGGTAATATGTACACAAATGAAGGTGGCCGAATTCCAATAAATCCTTATTTATACAAACAGGCATCTAGTTTGGTTTCATTCAAGGGTTATAGTTGGTTCAAGGTAAGGAGTACCTGGAAGACACAAACAAGCAATTGGTTAAAGGTTACCAGGTACTGTCAAGTCATTTCCAACTCATGGTGACCCCGTGTGTGTCACAGTAGAACTGTGCTTTCAGAAGTAGATCTCCAGGCCTTTCTTCTGAGGTACCTCTAGGTCTACTCGAACCACCAACTCTTTGTTTGCAGCCAAGCATGTTGTTTGTACCACTCAGGGACTCCTGGTTAAAGGTAAACAGGAGCTAATGTTGGGCGTCAGAAAAAGACATTCGCATAACCTCTTGTTGGATCCTCTACAACATAAAACTATTGAAATGCTTGTTATCTTGATTTTAAGTATCATTATATAGATCCTTAGAAAAATATTGAAGAGTGAGAAATTTAAATATGCATATTGAAATTTAAGTTATGTTCATAGGGTTAGGAAAGCTTAGCTAGACAAATGAAAGAGCTGGTGGAAGGGACACTGGTTCTTAATTGCTGGCCCTACTAGCTGCTCCTCTCCTCACCTGAAGTCATCAGTCCTTGCTTGTCTGTAGCTATCAGGGCTTTATACCTGTTCATTCCGGTTCAAATGCCTGCTGAGAATTTGCATTCCACCTGGGATGTACTGAATCAGAATCGACATTTTTATCAGATTCCCATATGATTATACATGGTAATGATGTATATGTAAGAAACATCTGGGGAGCTATAAGAACCACTTAAGGATCTTGTTAAAAGTAGATTCTGATTGTAGAATGTGCCCTTTGGTTGTTTAAGTGATTATATATTCCTGAGTGTATTTGTGTACACCAAAAAACAAAATGAATCAAACAAAAAAAACAACCCAGAGGGAATAGAAGAAAATACTGTTAAATGATGTTGCATGGAGGGAATTGTAATAATTGCAATGAAACGAGATACCAAAGGATGAGTGTAAAACCGATGTCCTCCCATACAAATTATTACACAATTCACAATAAAAACTTAAAAAAAAAGTAGATTCTGATTCAGTATATCTGGGGTGGAAATGCAAATTCCCAGGAGGGGGTGGGTTGAACCAGACTGAACCGATTTGAAGGCTTGGTAGCCATTCACACATGAACAGGTTTGTGAATTAGAAGGGAGACCTGCCTTGAAACCCCACTTTTCTGTGCTGGGAGCCTCTGTGATGTGCATCTTGGCATTACACAAGCATCTTCACTCTTCATGTGGGTACCACTCTGGGGCTTTGCAATTAGGAGCTGCTGCTGCTACTACTTAACCTTCCTAGTGGAAGGGGAAAAATGTGGACTGTTATATTGTCATCACTGTATTTCCTTTCTCAACAAGAGACTCCTAATGTAGAAATTCTTCTAAGCCAATGACCTTTATTGACTTACTATTAACTTGCTGTGTCGGCTTTAAAAGCATTGATCCTCTAGGGGTAGGATACCTATTACTACTATTTCAGTAGTCAAAATAGGGAGTGAGTATATCCTTTGATCTTTAGCTTTGCCCTTCTTGTTGGTAAAATCTTCAGGGGTCTGTCTTCTGAGAGAGGGTGGGGAGCAATGCTGGCTCCTTTTGCTGCAGCTCCAGGAGCCTTTTATAAGGCTGGCTACTACTGTCATGACAGCCATTCCCCCCTCCCCCCCCTTCTGCCCTGTGTTTGATTGCAGGAACAAAGGGATGAGGACTCGACTGGGATGCCTGTCTCACAAATCAGATTCGTGTAGTGATTTCACAGCTATTCTTCCTGACAAACCCAACCGCGCTCTCAAGTGAGTTCTGAGGCACACGGTGTCCTTGGCTGCCCATCCCAGGACTGTATAAACCCCTTAATCTCCCTGGGCTGCTGACCAGGGGAGCCAAGGAATGACAATAAACTTCTAGCTTGACCTTGTGGCAGCTCACCTTATATATTTATGTGTATATATATTTATATATCATCAGTTTGTGAGCAAAAGGAATGCTTATTTTCTTTGTCAAATCTCCTAAATTTAATCTTTTCCTGTCACCAATTTCAGAATGTGGAACCCCCTTTTCCTCTCTAGAAAACTGTATCATCTATCTCTTATAAAGAAAGCTGCAGGTGGTGAAGGATACTTCTTGGTTCTATTTAGTTGTCAATCTTAGCTCTCAATTTGGAAACAAACACTCAAACCTGCTCTAAAAATATGCTGAGGTTCAGATCATCTGGATTCTGTGCTGATTCTGTGCAGGCAGTGTATTCAGTGATGTCATAAATGTCACCTCATTTCACCTTCATGCAGCTCTGAAAAGGCCACCATTATTCCTACTCCAGAGGTGAAGAAAGTAAGGTGACAGTAGGAGACAGGAACTGAGCATGACTTTTCTGACCCCAAGACCAGTCTCTTTCCATTGTTACTATGAAATCTTCAACTCATATTTAGCTTGTTCTTTAGACTGAAAACCATGGCATTAAATTCATTGAATTCTAATCTTGAGGTTTTCCCATTTGTTTAATGGTTGGTTGGTTGGTTATGTGCCGTGGAGTCGGTTCCGACTCATAGCAACCCTGTACAGGGTTTCTGAGGCTGTAAATCTTTACGGAGCAGAAAGCCTCATCTTTCTCCTGTGGGACAGTTGTTAGTTTCGAACTGCTGACCTTGCGGTTTGCAGCCCGATTTGTAACCACTATGCTACCAGAGCTCCTTATTTGTTTAATAAGAATGTTTAAATTTAAAGTGACAGAATTGTAGGACTGAACCCCCCACTGCCACCTATAAATGTTCTAAGTTATTCTATGCAAATCTTGGTAGTGGTGGAGGGAGAGGATGTTAATTCAGAAATATTCAAGACACACGTTTCTTCTTCCTAGGAGACTATCTACAGAAGAAGCTACGAGGTGGGCCGATTCCTTTGATGTACTTCTTTCCCATAAATGTAAGTATATTTCAGGTCATATCATGTCCCAGTGAACCATTCATTTGGTAAAAGATTTACCAACTGCCTACCGTGATCCAAATACGGTGTTGGGTGTCCCAAACGGTTCTTGTCCTTGCCCTTATAGAGCTTCCAGCCTAAACATAATAGAGATTGTTGCTGTTGTTGTTGTTATGTGCTGTGGAGTCGGTTCTGACTCATAGCGACCCTGTACAGGGTTTCCGAGGCTGTAAATCTTTACGGGAACAGAAAGCCTCATCTTTCTCCCCCGGAACAGCTGGTAGTTTCGAACTGCTGACCTTGCGGTTCGCAGCCCGATTCGTAACCATTATGCTATCAGAGCTCTAGTAGAGATTAGAAAACAAAATTTAAATGCATTAAATGAGGACATTTTCTGTTCACTGGGTTCAAAGTAACGTCTCATGAAATCTTCATGTTTCTAGCAAAAGAGAATTTTGCTTAGGACTTTGGAGTGATGGGCTCCACAACCTGGCTTTTATTTACAAGCCTAAGCAACCTCCTTCCAAGTCACTCAAGTGTCCTGTCTAATGAATATTCTATATAACTTATTATTTACAGTGCTTGAATTGGCAGATTAGGGAAAGACTAAGATTTTTTTTTTTTTTTTTAACTGTGGTAAAATAGAGGCAACATAAAAGTTGTTACTATAACCATTTTCTAGTGATGTCCAGTGGTGTTAATCATATATACAATGTTGTGCAACCAGCACCATTATTTGTTTCCAAAGTTTTTTCATCATCCCAATAGAAACTCAGTAGCCATTAAGCAATAACTCCTCATTCTTTTCTTTCCCCAGCCCCTCGTAAGCTTTGGCCTACTATCTATCTCTATGTGATTGCCAATTCTAGATAGTTCATATAAATGGAATCAGACAATAGTTTGTTCTTTTGTGTTTGGCTTATTCCACTTAGCATAATGTTTTCAAGGATTATTTACATTGTAGCATGTATCATAACTTCATTTTTCTTTATGGCTAAATAATATTCCACTGTACGTATGTTCTACTGTGTTATTTATGTATTCCCCTGTTGATGGACATTCAGGCTGTTCCCACCTTTTGTCTATTGTGAATGTTGTTATTGTTGTTGTTAAGTGCCATCGAGTCAGTTCCGACTCATAGCGACCCTGTACAGGGTTTCCAAGGCTGTAAATCTTTACAGGAGCAGAAAGCCTCATCTTTCTCCCACGGAGCAGCTAGCAGTTTCGAACTGCTGACCTTAAGGTTTGCAGCCCGATTTGTAATCACTATGCTATAGTGCAGCAATAAGCATTGTGGACAAGTATCTGTTTCAATTATTTTGGGTAGACACTTATGAACGGAATTACTAGGCCATATGATAAGTCTATGTTTAATATGTTGAGGAACTGCCAAACATTTCTAGGTTTTGAGTTTTCTTAATGCTTTTTATTTGCACCCCACCTGCATTACAATGCTTCAATTTCTGGGTAGGTAAAAAATTAAGAATGCAACTTTTGATATTCCTACCTCTTCTGTTTTTCCTTTCCTTCCCTTTCATTTCCCACAAAGGCAGAAATAATTGTTGTATATATTGTGTTGTGGTGAGCATACTTAAATGGTGACTAAACTCTTCAGCTCTTGTTTTCTTCTGATTATGAACAAATCCAAACTCCTAGGGCTTTGAAATCCCAGTGACATATGTGCTATTGTTGTTAAGTGTCGCTGAGTTGATTCTGACCCATAGCTACCCTGTATAGGGTTTCCAATGAGTAGCTGGTAAACTTGAACCACCGACTTTACAGTTTAAACGGCTTTGCAGTCTGACGCATTAGCCCACAGCGCCACACCAGGACTCCATACATGCTATGGCTGTGTGGAAAACAGCAGTGAAAAAGAGAGAAGGGGTTCTGAGGTCAAAGGAAGATGTCAAATAGTCTTTCAGGGTCAGTATTCCAGCAGGTGTCACCCAGTGTGGTGTTCCTGGTGTCACTCCACCCACACTCCCAACCCTGGACTTCCTCCCTTACCAGACTGTACAGGAGCCTCAGTAATGTTATCAATTTTAATCATAGGGTTGCATGTGACAGACATAGCTGTAAATTGCTTAAATGCTATACTTCTTAAGATTACATGAAAACTATCAGCAAAATTGTTTTATAAAATTTCTACACTGAATTACAACATTATTAGTAACTGAGTGGAAGCCTTTTCCTTTAATTACTGTCTCATTCTTAAAAACATTATTGGTAAATATTCACACATACTTGACAAATTCACACATAATTATGATATTACATGTAAAGCACCAGAAAATTTGACAAAATCAATGACTATAAAACATATCACAGCAGCGAAAATAACAATGCATGGTTGTATCGTGTGCAGATGAACCATGTGATCTGAAGCATTCATTATGTTGCATAATAATGATAGCACCTACTGGAGCTCATTGTTGTTGTTGTTAGGGTCAAACTCATAGTAACCTTATACATCACAACTCAAATGCATCGATTCTTCTGTAGTATTCCTCAACTTTCACATACCTATGAGGTGATTGAAAATACCATGGCTTGGGTCAAGTGAACCTTATTCCTCAAACTGACATCTTTGCTCTTTAACACTTTAAAGAGGTCTATGGCAGCAGGTTTACCTTATGCAATATGTTGCATTAGAAGGTTCAAAAAGTAAATTAGCACAGAGTTTTAACCTTGTCGGTATACTGATATATGCAAGTTGGCCTTCTCAAAATGTTTTTGTTGTTACAGCTATCTACTGGGATATATTTTTTTAAAATAATAAATTTATGCAGAAACACTGCACTGAAGTCTTAGAGACAGTCATTTTGGTAGCACCCTTCTGACAGTATCACCCAGTGTGGTCTGCATCCCCCAACTCCCTAAGAGTGACACCGCCATTCAAGGGTCTTCCTAAATTCTACCTTGACTATATTAAAAGTTCTAAGTAATTTTGGGAGCAGAAGGATTAGTTTTACTTTATTGTCTCCATTTAATTGGGACGCATGGTTTGATTTAATTGAGAACATTGGATGAAGTCAGACCTCTGCCTAGGTAATTGGGTAGACTTGATGGGGTCTTTTAGTCTCCCAGAAGATCATTTAGAAGTGTTTTTATTTTAACTTGATAGTGTAGGATCAGCCCTAGATAAGCAGCTCCCCAGTTATGCCTCGGATCTGAATAAACGTGTTAACAATTGCTTTTGAATTGATTTTAAAATAAAAATTTGAGATTTAAAAATAAGCACATATTACAGCAAGTAATTTTGTGAGACAGTCATTTTAGTGTTTTAGGAATTACACTTAGGAAGGAAAATAAAGCTGTGTAGAAACAGCATATATAACATATGGCTATACTCCAAACAGTAAGCTCATGTAGTGAATTTGCCAAGATAATGGCACTATGATAATATTTGGGATTTGACAGTAATGCTGGGTTTTTTTTTTTTAGGCTATTCTGACTTTTTTTTATTTCATTGAGTCTCATTAGGCTTATCAAGTGTCACTGCCAATTTTACACCTTCTTTCCTGGTGGATTTGATTCAAGGTCATCTTGAAGTTTGGTTTCTATTTTAGACTCACGACTGACTCACTTAGTTCAAGTCCCTGAGGCTGTTTCCTCCTTCTAAAATGGGAATAGAAATAAATACCTGCTTTCTACCTGTCACCTGGGAATGAGAAATTTAATGAGAAGACATCTTTAGATGATTTGGGATTCTCTTCTCAAAGATGTTTTGTAATGGCTAGGCGGTACCTTTTAAAACAATCAATGCCTTTTTCTTTCTTTCTTTTTTTTTAAATCAAACATAAAATGAATGTACTCTGAGTATAAGATTGCAAATTTCTCTGTCAATTCTTAATATTAAGCCACTATGGTGTCTTGGTAGCGTAGTGGTTACAAATCGGGCTGCAAACCTCAAGGTCAGCAGTTCGAAACTACCAGTTGCTTCACGGGAGAAAGATGAAGCTTTCTGCTCCGGTAAAGATTTACAGTCTCGGAAACCCTGTTCAGGGTCGCTATGGGTCGTAACCAACTCGACGGCACATAACAACAACAACATGGTGTCTTGGTGTTGTGCTGTACGTTAAGCACTAGACCAGGTAGTTTGGAACCTCAAGGTCAGCAGTTCAAACCTATCAGCTGCTCCTTGGGAACCCTACACAGGGTCACTATGAGTTGGAATCAACCCGAAAACAATTAACAACATAGACGGAATGATTGAAAATTTGAGGTATAATTGTATAGCTGCAGTAACAAGACTTGGAGACTTCAGAGGCTTAATTGCATTTGTTTGATTCCATGACTTAGATCTGAAGATACTTGGTTCTGTTTCTTTTGGGGATGCTTTTCATTTCCAGGAATGCAATAGCCCTCTTCTGAGATAGGGATTCTGCTAGGGGCTCGCAATCTGACACCAGAATACTTCTTTGTAAAACAGCTACAGAAATAGGCTTTTTGTACTTTGAAGTTCTGTGATCCTTCTTGGAGTCTGATGTTTTGTGTTTTATTTCTGTTTAGTGAGGAAAGAAAAAGCCAACGGCATGAATGTCTTTGAGAGGAGAGGAGTCTTTAGTTCTGGTGTCACTGGTGAATTTCAAGAATTGAGAACTTGAACACTTGCTTCCCTTTGAAGCTTTGGAGGAGCCTGAGCTCAGGCTGCTGTGAAAGGTGTTGATAACTTTCTAAAAGTCTAATTAATTTGGGATAATGTTATGACTCATTAGGGCTGGTGAAGCGTTTCCAACGAGATTGCATGTGTTCTCGTTCCTTAGGAGGGATAATGTTGGTCAGAGCCGTGCAGAGCTTCCAATGAAAACAACGAAAGTCCTAAAAAAGGTACAGAGAGGAGAGTTATTCTGTGATAGGCTCCAGAGAAAGGTGGATTAGCCTAAAACCCACCCCTGATCATTGTTCTCACCTAGGCAGTTGCCCTTCTGACGTTTTCTAGTTACAGACAATTCTGATCTTTACACACTTCCCATTTTTAATCTACAGAGTATCTTTGC